CCCTGTCACCGGTACCGACTTAGCAGTTTATCCCATCATTCCGTGTGGATTCGAGAACTTTGTTGGTATCGGTGAAATCGTGAGAATTTTCTGCGAAAGTTTACGTAATTTTTATTTTTATTTTGGAACATATTCATTACAAAAATTTGTCGATACGGATACACGACTAGTGTATGATTTGGAGGGAAGAGTTGCCGACTTTTTATCGGTTTTCGAACCACACGCAAGCGAGTTAAAGGCAGTGCAGCTGTCCGGGTGTCTGCAGTTTCTGACAAGCTCAGTGTAAGAGTATCAATTGTCACTTCGGTGGAAGGTGTAAGGTGGTAAATTTTTAGATACATTTTGTTTTGTAAACATGACAATATATTACCTATACAGAATTCCATACTGCCCACAGTGTCGGAATATGGTGCGTTTACCCTATGCAATCAGAAGCTACTAAACACTTAATAACTGGAAGAGCATTAAAATGTCTAGCATTAGAACAAGCCAAATTGTTTGCAGTTTGGTTAAAAGCATGACAATGGACAGGACAGGAAATTAATGCACACTAACAAGTTCAACAGCTCACCTCAACTCACCTTTAAGGAGCAGTGAAGTTGCTTAGGAAACAGGTGTATGTGGAAGAATGAGAGTAGGTACCATAGTTTGGCTAGCAGGAATAGGTTGACCATCACTTGAAGGTCTATATGGATTCAGGCAATGGATGTAGGTCTTGATTAATGCTCAAGTGCAGATAAGCATAAGTTTAAACATGACCATGCTGTTGCTTGATATATGTAATGAAACCTTTAACACTGGTGTATGCTGGACATGCATATTGGTAATGGTTACTCCAATAACAAGGATATGTGTCTGCAACAATCACAGATAAAGTTGAATTAAACCACTCTTTCTAAAGTAAAAACTAAGTGATATTAGGAGACATGGCCTAAAAGTAAGACAATACACCATAGTACAATGAAAGGCTTGAAGTTTATGAAAAAAGGCTCCTCTTCAATGAAAGGCTCCTCTTCAGCATGTGTACTGCAGCAAGAGACAGCATGTGAATTGCAGAGGATTGCAGGAGCAGCCTATTACTATATTAGCCTTCATGGGGTATGACTTGTATGTGATAACAGATCAACTTCCAACAGGGGGTGCATCTTGGCTAGAACTCCTGAGATGACCGGGCAGGTTGGTTGTCCATTTCCGCAAGAGGGGGTAATAAGGGACATCTTCCAGGGTAATATGGGACCCCCCTTGTTAAAATGCTGTAGAACCTTGATTAGCAAAGGCTCCAGTTAACAAAAAATCAATTAATAACATGGAATTTTGATTAAATATACCTCCCTCAGCAGAAAAATTTCCCCTAATGAAAAATTAATGCATCACTGGTTCTTGCAAAATTGTGCATAGAATGTCATAGATAGAACAGTGCACAGAATGTCATTGATAGAATTGTGCACCGGGCAACATAGAATGAAAATTAACCTAAACTATTATTTATTTCTCCAAAAAGCATGATGGTTATCACAAGAATATTCCTTTCTGTTTCAGGTATGTTTTTTACAATCTTTTTTGTTGTAGTGAATTCACTTGACCCAATTAAAATGGTGTGAAATTACAAGCTCAGTCCTGTAAGCTTACAGATACAGAAGAAATGCTATAAGGCTGCTGATATGCAGCTTGCAGTGGACAAGATTGTTGTCAATGCTCAATGGCATGTCCATGGATACTGTGATGTCATTTATGCAGTAATGTCATTTATTTTACATCTACATCATCTAAAAAGGAAGAACAGAACTTTGGAGTACTGTTAGTTATGGTTGAGTCCACTCTGCATGCTTTAAATGTTCTAAAATTAAGTTGTATTACAAGTGTCCTAAATTGACCTGTTTCCAGGGGTAATTCAGGAAACTTTTCTTTTGCATCTGGCTACCTTACAAATAGCAAATGGAATTTTTTCAGAATACCATGCAGCAGCCCCTGCAAAGACCCTTAAAATGAGCACAAATTTGTTAATGAAATGTTTCACGGTGGGAAGTCATCAACAAAAAATGCTCAAAATCGTCCCTTATTACTTGGTTTGATGGGAGTTATCAAGTGGTAATCAAACCATACAAATTTTTGTTGTGAGATATGAGCAGTATTATAAAGTTTTTTAATACTATAAAACTATATACTACTGTATGACCAGTATTATATAGTTTTTGTGACAAACAGTGGGGAGTGAGGTAAGTGCAGACTGTGCAATACCTGCTGAGTGCAAGAGTTTGTGGCCTGTGGCAGTGGGACAACTTAAATTTCAATGAAGACATTTTTTCAATGGTTCAATTTTTATTCTTGACACTTATGATCAGGGGTGATGGAGCTGCCCCAATGCTGCATTAGAGCTGGGCTGGAGACTGGAAGCTATGGTCTGATAATGGGCAGAGGCAAAAAGGCATGATAAAATAGCCTCAAACACAACCTGGAACCTAGGGTGTGCATCTTATCTGCCAAGGAATGAAATTAGTATAATGTAAGATAAGCTCGGAGCAATTAGGATTCATGTGTAGAAATAGCCCAATGCAGAATATTGGGTAAAAGCTTCCTAAAATAGCTAGTAAAGTGATCATTAGACAGGTGATTTTCAAAAATTGTGAAAAATTGGCAGTTTTTCTTATTTTTCACAGAAGAAATCAAGGATAGGCCATAGGAATGGGTGAAATCAGCCATTATGGGCATTTGGGTCTGATTCACAGGCTTCTTCTGCCCAACTTTCTTGTAAGGAAACAGCCTCTTGAAAGTTGGAATTTCAGACTGGAAATATGATACTGGGCAGACATCTTTACTTAACTTAACTTTTTTTACTTTCTTTTTTATTTCCAGGGGATACTGGGCAGACATCTGCATTTTTAGGGGTGTCCCTTATTACCTCGGGGGGTGTCCCTTACTACCCTGTCCTGCAGAAATGGCTGCAATATTTTTTGGATTGAGATAGGCAAATTCTGTCAATTGTGTTTTTAAGCCACACCTATGTGTAACTTTTACGTGAGTAAAATTTTCAATACGGTGAATTTTTTTTTTCTACACACCTCAGCAGAGGTACTTTTCCAAAATCTCACTTTTCACACTTTTTTCTGGGATTTTCTAGAGGTAGTATATGTATTTCTTAATTTGCTTTATGCTACATTGATGGTAAAAAGGTTGAACTTAACGCCACTATTTTTACTTTTGTAATATTTTGATTAGTTTAGCTGCTACAACATTTCTACGAAATGTGGGACAACTGTCCCAAGTTACCCCGCCCGTCCCTTATACCGCCAGTTTGACGGTACCTCTCAAATCTGAAAAGTTTGATGTAATGAAATCAAGTAGCAAGTGACTAACATTTTTTGGGTGCAAATTAAGAGTACGGTATAGTATTATGTTTGAAACTCATATCTATCATGCCAAACTTGAGAAGTTGATTTGAAAAAATCTATAAAACTGAGAAAATGCACAATCATAATGAAATCAGGGACTAATAATTTAATCTGGTAACTAAGGTGTATGGAACCCAGTGATGCAAAAACTGTAATAACTAATGAATAAGCACACAATGCAAACATTATTGAATGTATTTTTGGAATACTGATTTACCGGTACATGAAATCATGCAGGTAAGAAGAATTGCTTAAGTATCAACTCAAGTCTATGAACTCTTGTAGTGTAAAATATCTAAATGATATTAGTAATCACTTGAATTTCAGATTAGTTATGCTAATAGTTTAAATTTAGAAAGTTCAAACTAGACTATTGAGAAGAGCTTCACTTACCAAACAGCATTGCAGAGTAAACCTTCTCTAGCAGGCTCATTATTGGGCTCTCTTGGCAGTTGATAGCATTTTAATTAACTTGAATGGAATTTTATTATTGCATCTCTTCTGGATTGATATCAAACCAAAGAATGCATCAAGTATGAAAATTAAATTAATGACTTGTAGTTTGAGTGTAAAAGCAATAATGCCTTCTTGCAACAAAACTGCTGTGCGGCTTCAGTTTGTAGGGTAAAATGCAGTTACTGTGTTTATTCATTAACTAAAATGGTTACAACAGGAATACCTACATTTTTGTTTCATTGACTTGTTGAACACATTTTGTGAAGTTGCTTGTTCAAAACATGCATGCTGTAATGTTGGAGTTACAGCATGTAACATGCTGTAAAACATGCATGTACATAGTTTTTTATTGTTATTTATTTCAAATTCTATCAATATTTACATGTTTTATTTCTATCTTACCACTTTTTAAATGATATAAACTTGATTAATTTAGAAAATGTAAAAATGTTTCCAGATACTTTTGTATTCCCACATTAGGTTTCTCAAACTAAGTTAGTTTTTGTGCAGGCATATAATTGTCATAGAAAATGAAAAAAAACCTTGGAAAGAATTTGTTCATGTCTATTATAGAATTTTCATGTCTTTTTTTTCTGAGCTAGAGTTGATATCCAATTGGGACAAAGTGGAAATTCTGATAGTAATTAAAATTAAAGTTTAAAGTCAATCTAGTTTAAATGTTTGGAGGAAACCCTAAATAATTTGATGGGAATGTAACATTGATACATATATAAAATATAATTCATGTATTTTTTTCCTTCTGAGCAATGATTTGCAAGAAAATAATGAATTCCTGCAGTGACCTCATATCATTGCACAGGTATTGCTGCTTTAAATATTTATGTTGGTATATCAATAATGCAGATAAATTTTGTGGGACATTATTCCATATCTCTCATTTATATTGATAATAAAATACCAAACACTGTCAGCCTAATTTTTGCTAGCATCAACTCATTTTTTCAAATCTGGCAATGTACCATACTACTTATTATTTCTTGATATCAACCAGTAGATGATGTAGGTAGTGCATGATTTAAACAAAGTATACTCACAACACACCAATGCTGTTTGTCATATTCGAATTTGCTGTATTTCATATTTTTTAAATGAACTTTTTTCTTTTGCAGATGTTGCCTGAAATCACTTCTTTGTCATCAGTCTACTCCTGCTTGGTGGCATGTTATGCCGCAAAATTATTGTACTGTGCGGGAAATAAACATTAAAACTGAGACATATCAAAACACCAGACACAAGCAGCAATCCTCTTTCAACGATGAAGAAGTGCGGAAGTTTGGTGCTCTCTCAGACCATTGGTGGGCAAGGGATGGTCCGTACAAACCTCTGCACTCACTCAACCGTCTGAGGGTTCCTCTTGTGAGGGACGGTCTTATAAGCACCGGGGCGACGGTGTCAAAGGATGGCAGGCAACCGCTAGAAGGAGTCACCATCCTGGATGTGGGATGCGGAGGAGGCATCTTATCTGAGCCCCTGGCTAGGTTAGGCGCATCTGTTACTGGTGAGCAATGTGCCTCCAGGTTCATGCAAACTAGTGTTGAAAGTTTCCGCAGATATTTGCACTGACAATGAATTTTAATATGAGGAAGAAGTAATTGACATTCTTGAGTAAGTTTAGTATGCATGCACTTTTTAATTGCAATACAAAATAACTCAGTTTATCCATCTTCACCCATGTACAGTTTACTATTATAATATCGCGTTAAACCAAACATCTGTCTTTTAGCTTCTTTGTACTCCGAAAATATATTTAAAATTGTACAGGGTATGATTTTTAAGCTGTAACACTATTGTTGATTGTGAGATGAATGATATATATAGTAGGTAATAGGTCATAGCTGTGATGTATATATAAACTTACAAACAATCAGCAGTTTCAGCCATGTCCAGAATGGAATCCTGAAAGATTTGTTGCACTGACTCCTCAAGTTCTAACTTACAAAGAAGTTTAAATTACCATAGTTAAACCTTTTACTTTTACCTTACCTAATTATCCTATGGAAAACAAAATTCCACTATGTTATGCATCACGCAGGCTAAATACCAACTCCAGGTATAATGTTTATTTTCTTATGTCATTGTTATTTTCTTTAGCATTGATAGCTACACTTGAGACATTATTTACTTACTGTTGAAATAATTAGTGAAGCAATACTCAGGGCTGGATGCATCTCATAAGAGCATCGAGGCAGCGCAGCAACACTCTTCCCTGGACGCTGACCTGCAGGGGCGTCTGCAGTACAAGTGCTGCGACCTGGACACCTTCAGCCAGCGCCTGGACCAGCAGTACGACGCTGTGGTCGCCTCGGAAGTCCTAGAACATGTGGACTCAATTGAAGCTTTTATTGAGTCGTGCAATGCGTGCCTTAAGCCTTCAGGGTCGCTCTTCCTGACGACCATCAATAGAACCCCTTTGTCTTTCCTGGGCGCCATCGTGGCAGCAGAATATCTGCTGAGAATTGTACCTGTGGGCACCCACACGTGGGACAAGTTTGTGCCAATTGAGGCTCTTAAAAAATTGCTCGAAGAAAGTAAGTAGTGGGGGAGAGGATTGCCCTCCTTTGGGGCCTTGTTAGAATGTTATATGCACTTCAGATGCAGTTATGTTATGCACATGAACTCGTATTTTATATTTTTCTACATAAATAAAAACAATTTCTGTTACGTTTAAGAGTAGAACAAATGTTTAATATTCTCATACATGTGTACTAGGTTAAAATTTTTGTACATCATATTTAAATGAGCATAAGATAAATGTATACGTTTGATCAGGAGGCCTGCAGACGCGGCTGCAGCACGGCATGCTGTACGCGCCTGTGCTGGACCGCTGGTGCTGGGTCGCCGATACCTCCGTCAACTACGCGCTGCACGCCGTCAACATCGCCGACACCTCCGTCAACTACGCGCTGCACGCCGTCAACTACGCGCCAGAGTCTCCAATGTCGCCCGAGTCTCCCACGTCGTCCTTGTCTTAGCTCCACGTGCGAGCGAGCGCGTCACACTTTCTCAGATGTTATAATTTATATAGCTGAATAAAACTAGCTGAATTGTCTTAGAGCTATAGAATTGTTAAGTAGATTCATACGGTAAAAACTTATATTGCAAATCCTCCGCTGCGAAATGTCATATATGATAGAAATTAAACTCTGGCAGATCCACCTTATGACTCGTGATGAATCCTCTTTGCTGACTTGCATGTCAAGTTTTGTCAAGTAAGCCCAACGCAGCTAATAGCGCTTGAATAACCTCAGGCCTTTTACTTCATTATATTTCAAGATAACGTTAACCGTTAGCTGCGTTAGCTTCTAGGATTTAAATTCCAAAATACTAAAATATTGCATTTAGAATATCGAGCTATTGAACACCTCCCAGCATGCCTTTACGATAGAGCTTGCGCCACGAAAATAATTAATCAGTAATTTAAATTTGATATTCAAGTTTGTTCATTTACATTGTTTATGGAAGAGCTAATAAATGGATGTAATTAAAACGAAGCACTTTTCTATTTACTACTGACCCTTGATAAACGCCTTGTGATCCATTGCTGATGGTTGAGCTTGTAGCCATTCTGTTTCAAGAGTTACCACCGAAAAGATATTTTTCTGTACAAGTTGATTGTTTATATAGGAACTTGACGTCTTTGGACTCTTTTAATCTAATATTTTGATAACAAATGCCGTTTTAAGATAGCAAACTGTTATTTAGTCATTAATATGACATAATGAACAACGAGAAAAGAATTTTAGTAAGTTCATTTTTTAGCTTCACCCGTCAGATTCGTTTTCTGTAGACATACACTTATGGTCGTTTTGATTATCGTATCTTGATGGTCGTTTTAATTATCGTTGCGTATGAAATTAAGCAAATTCATATTGATTGCATCTTTGTCGATTGACTGGCCATTCATTTGATCACATAGATCTTTGTCTCCGTTGCTTTTTCACTGTCCCGAGTTCATTCAACACGACGGTATGGCCACGATGGCAGTAGCTGCAACTTGCCTCTGCGGACTCATCTTTACCGCTGAGCGTTGCGAGCAAAGTACGTAGGTGTATGGTGAAATATCACCGAATCAGATTCGCTACTCGCTAGTCAGAATCAGCTAGCTGGACTCGAGAGTCAGATACGCTAGTGTATGAGGCGCTTAAGGTCCTGATTGAAAGCCGAGCGAAGTCTGAAAGCGAGGTTTTCGCGACCAAGTTTTGGTTTCGAGGTTTTGTTCATCAAGTCTGCGATTTTTTTTTTACTTTTTTCGAGATGTAAAAGGGTTTTGAATCTTTATTTTCCATTGAATGGTATACTCGGCATTCCTTGATCAGCCTCCTTGTTGTAAATATTCTTTCTCAAAAAATACTTATGATCGAGCCTGCTGATACGTGGAGGAAAAATCCCGCATACTAGCTGCTCAAATGGAGGCGTTGTGGAAAAGTTTGAGGTGAAAGAGACGTCGTAAATTACTCGACTGTCGGTTCACGACGGGCGGCATGGTGTCGGGAACTCAATGAGAGGCGAAGAATAATACGTGACCAGTGGTCGGCCTAGTCCAATTGGTTATAGCCGACCGTTGGCCATTCCTCGGCCACCTGAAAGCGACCAGTTGCCGCGAGAAAGGGGCTGGCTAGGATATCATATTACAAAGAGTACAAGCTCGAGGGTAGCGACTGGCCGAGCTTCGGGCAGATCAAGGATTTTACACGATGGTCGCGAAGACCTCGCTCTCAGACTTCGCACGGCTTTCAATCAGGGCCTTAAGGGCCCCATACACCATCGAGTCCGACTCGGCTAACCTCAAAACACTCCCAATATGGCGCCGAACGAGCAGAGGTGGGTAAAATAAAGGCGAGCCGAGCCAAGGCTTCCACTGCCTGCTGTGGAGCTCGCCTGGCGGCCTGAGTCGCCTCGAGTTCAGTTACAATGCAGAAGTCAAGCTAGTAGGGCGTGTGAAGTCATGGCGGACTCCAAGCTATTCATGAGTCTCGACTTCCAAACCAAGTTTATTGAAGAATACCGCAATTTTCCGTGCTTGTGGAAGGTCCGTAGAGCAGAATATTCGAAAAAATTACAAAGAGATAATGCTTGGGAATATCTCATTCAAATTACGCGAGAAAAAGTTCCCAATGCAGACCTTAAACTTTGTTAAGAAAATAAATAATCCTTACATAGTTTTGATTGTCATTTAAATTATCGTTACGTATGAAATTTAGCATATTCATATTGACTAAATATTTGTCGATTGACCAGCCATTCTTTTGACCATATAGATCTTTTCCTCCATTGCTTTTTCACTTCCCCGTATTCATTCAAGACGACGGTATAGCCATGATTGAACTATACAAGGTTGACCCACGAGAAGTCCCGTCTTTCAGTTCGGCTTTCTTGTTACGTCACGTAGATCGAGAAACGTAAACAAACCAGTCATTCTCTTGACGGATTTGTCGACTGGTTTGAACGCATTTCGGTGATTGGTTAATGCCCGTGACGTCACTGAGATCAGTGACGTCACAGGCGAACAACGAACTACATCCGCAAAAATGGGCTTCTGATGGGTCAACCTTATACTAGTTCAACCATGGGTATAGCCACGATGGCAGCAGTTGCAACTTGTCTCGGCTGACTCATCTTCACCCCTGATCGTTGCGAGCCAAGTATGTAGGTGCATGGTTGAACTGTATAGTTCAACCATGCGCAGGTGTATGGTGAAATATCACCGAATCAGATTCCGCTAGCCAGATTCGTGAGTCAGATACGCTAGTGTATGGGGCGCTTAATAGGTGTGTGAAATAACGCCGAATCAGATGTATTGTATGTAGTAACGCCGTGCTTCAGTAGCACCAGCTTGTGCTGCGTAGGTCTGAAATGGCTGGTTGTTGCGGACGAAATATATCGAGGCGGTCAAGCTTTTTACGTAGTTCTAAATTTTGGTGCTTCACGCAAGCAGGAAAATATCTAGATGTTTTCGTAATCGGATACTCAATAATTGAAGACGAATTCTTTCTTGGACGAATTTACGGAATTGGCGATGCATATATTAAAATTGGCGATGCACATTTTAACCGCATGCCAAATGGGCAAACGCATATTACGCTAATTTCAGTACAGTAGCCTCCAATTTTAGAAAGTGATGCGAATTAGTGGAACATCGGGAATTTAACTCTTGGACTAGTCCTGTAACGCTCAGCATAAACATGTGCAGCTACACTTGGCTTAAGAGCTACGCTGTCAGTTTAGTATTCATAGGGGCTACATCCAATAATATAGGTAAATTGATGTAATGCCACGTATCAAGTAGATCCATTTACTGACGCACGTATAATTTACAATCTAGCGTGAAGAAATCGAAATTCACTAAGTAAAACCTTGACGTGATTTAAATAGGGTTGGCTTTTCACACTAAATTTCTTTTCGAAGCTGCAGGGCTAATCTTTCTATTCTTAAAATGCTTGAAGGCTTCATCAACTCGCGAGTGTCCAGGTTGCATGGTGAGGCACGAGTTTTGATCGTAGCTTTGAACAACTTGATTTGTCTCGGACAGAAATATCTATATGCTTGAGTTGAAGAGATTTTCAGTCGAGAACTATGCATGGAAACTGTGGCCTTCGTGACACTACTGTAACCTCCGTGACACAGCCTTAGTTAGGTTACGTACCATCTAACACGGTCTTCACGTTTGACTGACACAAAGGTGCAATTATTGCAAGGGCAAGAATCTTGAACAATGGGTTAAAGAAAAGTAGATGTCGCACTAGTTCTTCAAACAATGTGTGACAGCGGCGCAGCGCTAAGTGAACGAATGTCGCCCAAATTTCCCATGCAGAAAAATAGAGCTACCTTGACTGCGCTCCCTCGCAGCGCTAGTGCGACATCAGAGGGCGAAGTTTCAAGTGGGAGTTTATTTTCAGTCAGTATACACATCGACAAAAGATTGAGAACTATCTTTCTTTGGCCGGAAGCGCGCTGACAGCCCACTCCCAGACAACGAATAAAATTACTTCGCATGGCTTTGCAAGATAGGCTGACGTAGCCACGAACTTTCAATTATTTTTTATGGTGAGATCCCGGCTCCTGAAACTATCTTCAATGAAATAGGCTTGGAAAACTATTTGGCTAACAAGTATGAACATTTTTTTCAGGTAAATAAATGCACATGACAGCTACCTTAAGCTGAAAATGAATTCAAGGCCATAAAAATTACTCATTGCAACTGCCGATTGTTTCAGCAAGGGCGTCGCTGCGTTTACTTCTCGAGAGAGCCCAAATGCTCAGATCGACTGTTGTGAAAGACATGCAAGGACCACATTCCATAAACTTCCCACTTATTCATGATATTAACGTCCAAAAATCATCAAATTGAACACACATCAAAAAGAATGAAAACTCGGGAGATTAGTTCGCTGGAAAATGCCTAAACTTTGGTAGCATTATTGCTCTGTGTTTTAGTTTTTAGGTCAACATATCGCTCGTCAACAACTTTCTTTCACAACCCTCTTGATATCCAAATTACTCCATTCTATGCCCAGAAGTGTACTTTAACGTGGGAAGAAGTTGAATGGTCGATGTAATAGAGCGCAGAATTTCATCTAGTCAAGTTTTGAAGTATCGTGAGCTAATCCAAGGGATATTGCCGACCAAAACCAGTCAATAATTTACCAAATACTGTTCCGACAGCCGGAAGATACAGTTTGACTTAGGTCTATTCATTCAAATAATTGCGGCAGTATTTGCGATTGTTGATTACCGCGTGCACTGCCGAGAAGACTACAGAAACCGCAGCTTTTGCAGGCTGTGGTTTAATCGGCATACATGGATAACCCGTGTTTTAAATACTGACAGAATGTACAAAGCTGGTGGACTTGCGTCTCGACTACCAACGCATCGCAGTTGCTGTGGTCGCGCTCTTTCGCTGCGCCAAGTGAAATTTTCATTCTCACCTGAATGAAAAAAAGTTTGGGTTGGGTTAGGTGCTCACAAATTCAATGCCGTTCCGATCGGCTCTGCCATGGTTCATAAAAATGACGACCAAAGCGTCGCACTCGCTGCAGCTGTGGTCGCGCTTGCTCACTGCGCAATTAATTTACTGATAAATTAAAAAATGTGTCTTTGAAATTCATTGTCGCTTCCCTACCAAAGCACTAAGCAGACCAGGAATCAAAATAATAATAGATTTCGAAAGAATATACCTGAAAAAATGGCAAAATAGGTTTATTTAATTGCTGTTCATAATTATTTAATTGCTGTCCACCAAAATTAGAATTATCATTATCAATTGAAGCGATAAGTGCAGGATATTGAATACTTTGAAAACGACTGCAAACCAAAACGGCGCGACGAGTTTTTCCGTGACGGATTTTTTTTCTGTTAAAATTTGCTCTTTTAATAACTACTTTTCAGCTGGTGGTCTTCGTGGTTCCTAGAGAATCTTTTGCATGATCCATACGATGCATGGTTTTCTTGGTGCGCCAAAAATCCATCTCTTGATCCACTAGTTCTTCCACGC